TGAAGACATCGCTACGGCGAGAGAGAGAGAGAGAGAGAGAGAGAGAGAGAGAGAGAGAGAGAGAGAGAGAGATGAGTGATACAAGTTTGGTTGTCACGTACCTTTGAAGTGTGCCATGCAGTCCCACAAGGAAGAAGGAGGTGGCCATAGCCGCGGAGCTCCACCACAGAGTTACGAAGAGGGTGAAAGGGAGGACGGAGGCGGAGACCAAGCAGAGTGAAGGAAGCCATAGCCGAGGAGGCGAAAAGATAGACGAAAAAAAAAAAAAAAAAAAAAAAAAAAAGAGAGAGAGAAAGAAGACAGTCGTAGTGAAGAAAAAGGAGGCGAGGAAGGAGAAGGGTGGTGCGGAAAGAGAAGCCGACAGCCATAGCTGACCGGACGTTGACCGAGAGAGTTGACCGGGCGTTGACCGGGCGTTGACCGGGCGTTGACCGGGCGTTGACCGGGCGTTGACCGGACGTTGACCGGGGTTGACAGGCGTTGACCGGGAGTTGACCGAGGGTTGACTGTAGTGCTGACCAAGCGTTGACCAAGGCGTTGACCAAGACTGTTGACCACGAGTTTGACCAAGCTGGAGCCGGTATAATCTCGCCAAGCCTTCAGCCTATCCCCTCGCCCTATGGATGAGCACACACCCTGTGCTACTTGTTGAGTCAAGTTTGTCTGTCTCTTCTTTCTGCATCGAGTCTCTTCTGTCCAGGTGATAGGAACTCTATGGATGAAGGATAGGGCCTTGTTGACCAAACCCACACGGGCTGAGTAGGGCTAAAGACAGTGTCTGACGACTCGACTGTCCAGGACACGAACCCTCCCAAGGACCAGTACTGACCGGCGGGCTGCTCGGTGTGGCACGCTAGGCCCAAAATCCGAGCTGTGGTCTGCACAACAGGCCGTCTACGTCTTGAGAGGACTTGCTGATCGCGTCGTCCTGTTTGCGACGTTAAAGAATTCCTGAGGAGTTATGGGGGATCTCCTTAAATGCCTCCTGATCAGCAGTGAAGTCCTGTAGTGACGGCCATAGTTTAGGTCTAGGCTAGTGACCCTAGTTGACAAAATCTTGTCCAAGATTCTGTGGTCCTTTAGAATCGAGTCAGTAGGTTTGTTAGTCAGGGGGAGTAGAGTCTTAGTGGTGAGGAATGGAACCATTGTCTAGTTGTGCACCTATCACCATGGTTGACACCCGTAGTGGGAAGAGTACTGCCCCTCAATCCGAGGCCGAGCAGGCCCGGATCGCCGCCACTTTGAGAGAGAGAAAAAAGAAGAAAGAGCTCCTTAGGCAGGCGAAGATGAAGGCCATTGAGGAGGAGCAGGCGGTGAAGAAGAAGAAGTTGGAGGAGGAGCTGAGAAGACTTCAACAAGAGGAGGAGAAGAAGAAGGTTGCTGAAGAAGAAGTGGCAGCCGAAGAGGAGGAAGAGGAAGAAGAACCCCTCGAAAGGAGGTGTACGGGGGGAAGAGGGGAAAGCGGTGGCACGAAGGAGGAAGATCCGTGGATTGACAAAAAGATTAGTGAGTGGGTAGCGAATTTAAGTTTGGGAGAAGAAAAGGAGGTGATGTTATATGTTACGCAGGAAGAGAAGGATGCTGTAGTTAGGGAATTTGAGGCAATGACCAATCCCTTGGACCGCCAGGCGCTAGAGAATGAAAAGAAGCTAGAGTGGAAACTGCGTCTGGCAAGGGAGAAGAAAAGGAGGGAGGAAGCCAGCCGGATGGCAAAGGAGATGGAGAAGGTGCATTCCTGTAGGAGGGAAGTAGAAGCCCGACAGGATATTCAGGCTAAGTTGGATAAGATTCTGAGTAGCATAGAGATTTTGGGTCAGGCTTGGACCGAGCAGCAATTAACCAGCCAGGGCCAAGATATGGCCCTGCACTCTGTTCGATTGGGTTTTCGAGACTTCGCGCGCGATATTGTGACTCATATGGGGTCACAGTTCCAAAGACTGAAAGAGGGTGCAGAAAAATACTGCACCGGCGCCTTGGAAGGCGCTAAAGCTATAGCCGCCGCTGAGACTGAGGCTAGACCCCGCAAGGAACCGGTAAAGCTAAAGTTCCGAGACGCGTATGGCGGAACGCACGAAGAGAATTTCGATAATTGGGAGGCTAGCGTGAATAGTTATGTCTACCTACAACACATTGTGCAGAACGAACAAGTCTTAGTAGCCTTCCATGCCCTGAAGGATGAAGCGGCTAGCTTTGCCAGATCCCTCGCGTGTGCGGCCAGTTGTGAGAACAACATGGTCGCATACTCCAAAGTCACCACCCTCCCTCAGTTCCTCAAGCTCCTCAGGGAGCGATTTGCTGATCTCAAAAGGGGCGTTAAGGCCTCTGATAAACTCCAAACTATCCACTCACGACAGTGGAGGAGTGCGCGAGCACTCAAAGCGGATATGGACGAGCTACTAGCCGTCCCGGACCATGGGGTCACTGAGGCCCAAATGGTCCAACTTTTCTATCGTGCCATGCCAGAGCCCTTACGAGGGCATTTCTTTGACAAAAGCCAACAGCCCACCATGACGTACGACGCATTGAGTAGAGAGGTGGTGCTGTACGAAGCAAAGTCCATGCCAGTGTCCACTTTCTGGCATAAGGGGAAAATGTGGAAAGGGCGTACCATCTCTAGCCACGTTAGGGCCAAAGATCATATGATCCTCACGTTAGAAGAAGGTGGTACTGAGTGGGGACTCGAGGAGGAGGACGGTGGCGTGGACCAGGGGAGGACCTATGCTGCTGTCGCGGCTGGAGGGAGGCCGCAAGGTAGAGGGGGCCAGGGCCAAAGGGGCCAGGCCTATGGTGGCCGAGGACAGGGCGCGCAGGGGGTTGGCAGCCAAAAGGGCCGTCAAGAGGGAGGTAGGGGTCAAGGTCCCCTGCCAAATCGTCAGGGTTCCTAGTCGGTCGCCACAGCGACGAGGTGGAGGATCACCTCAAAGGAGAGGAGGATGGCACCCAAGCTTGCCACAGGGCAGGCCATGGGAAGATTTGGGCCTGGATCACAGAGTCTGGCAGCAACGTGTGGATCAGGGTCAGTGCATCTACTGCGGTGACCCGGCCCACATAATTAAATATTGTCCTAAGTATAGACAGGCCCGATGGGCTGCCCACGAGTCAAAAGGCAGCCGCCGATAGGGGTGCAACTGGCCCTACTACTAGGTTATGTGGGGAAATGAGTGCACGCAAAGAGGAAATTCCCACACCACATGAGCCTTCGGCGGAGGTTGCAGGCCAGTGCCTACAGTCTTCCCCCGAACAAAACACACGTGCGTTGTATTCATACGTAGTGCGTTGTATTCGTATACAACGCACGTGCGTAATGCTACAGATTTTAGGCACTAACTTCCGAAAAGCCCCCCCCCCGAAAAAATCCAGTATATGTCAATACCTTTGCATGAATCGAGAAATGGTCAAAAGCAGAAAAAAAAAAAAAAAAAAAAAAAAAAAACACAGAGCCCGATACCAGGGCTCTCTCCACTACTCACCAAATATTAAAAACGTAAAAAAATAAAAAAATCTGAATGAATATTTTACCAGAAAATGACACATGCATCACCACATTTTTTTGTCTATTGTGCATGTGGAGAGCAGTGGAGCAAGGGCCCAACTGTACGTACCAATAGGAAAGTCGGCCACGCTACTTGTTGAGAGTTACATTTGAACAGTCATGCAGTCTTGGATCCCCATCTTGGCCTAGCGAGCGAGAGAGAGAGGGGGCACAACACTCTGAATATGAGTGTGGCACTGCAGACGGGCACGCGCCACACACAGAGAGAGAGAGAGAGAGAGAGAGAGAGAGAGAGAGAGAGAGAGAGAGAGAGAGAGAGCAGGAGCACTGCAGGGCATGCATTTTTGAAAATGAGCAAGACATTCTGTATGTTCTATTTGAATAGAACACCCATGTGTTCAAATAGAACACACGTGTGTTCTATTCGAGCAGAACATACGTGCGTACTATTTGAATGTGCGCACTATTTGGATTTCAGGGGGCAACTTCAAGAAATCAACTTTTCCAGGGAAAGTTGAATAGTACAAACGTGCGTTTTGTTCGGGGGAACACTGTAGTTAGCTGTCCAGAGACTGCTCGTGTCAGTGTCTCTCAAGGCACTTCCCTCACAGGCGTGGCAAAAGAGTTGAAGGAGCGGATGCCTGTCTGGGCCAAAATGAAGAAGGAAAGCAAAGGACAGCTAGTTTTAGTTGACGTAGAAATTTTTAGGAGTAGGGTAGGGGTCCTTATAGATTCAGGGGCCACCCGCAGTTATATTAGCCGTAAAGTGTTGAAGAAGCTAAGGCTAGGGTTGAAGGTCCAGAAGTTGGAAGACCCCATAGTTAGTGTCCTCGCGGACAACCGCACTATGCGAGTTGAGGACTACGTAGAGGGAGTCCGGGCGTATTTTCGCCTAGAGAAAGATGGGAAGGTGGAGAAAGTTCTCCATTCCCTGACTCTCCTCATTTAGGATGACCTTCCTTTCGATGTAGTCCTAGGTATGGATTGGGGAGAGGCAGCAGGAGCCACACTTCATCTGAGAAAGCATGAGTGTAGGCTCCCTAGTCCGTCAGGCGAGGTCAAGACTGCCCGTCCGTTCCATGTGTCAGGTGTGGACAACACCTTGGCACACTGCTGTCTCAGTGCTCCCGCGTTCGCGCGACTAGTTAAGAAGGAGCAATTAGAGGAGCAGGTCTTTGTAGCGTATGTGAGACCTGTCACTGAGCCTAAGGAGGAGAAGCCCATAGACCCAGCTATTGCCAAGCTGCTGGAAGAATTTAAAGATTTGACAGAGTCGCCGACAGGAGTAGTGCCGCGACCAATCCAGAACAAAATAAAGAGCCTGGCAGTAGGACTCCTAAGGGAGCAATTTACAGAATGTCCCCCAGAGAGGAGCTGCGCAAGCAGTTGGACGAGCTCCTCGAAAAGGGTTGGATTAGGCCCAGTTCATCTCCTTTTGGAGCACCAGTTTTGTTTGTCCCCAAAAAGGAAGGAGAGCTAAGGATGTGTATAGTCTATAGGGTCTAAATGCAATCACAGTTAAGAATGTTGAACCACTGCCCAGGATAGACGATCTCTTAGATCGGGTGTAGGGTTGCAGATATTTTTCGAAGATTGATTTGAAGTCCGGATATCATCAAATAGAGGTCCATCCTGATGACCAATACAAGACTGCGTTCCGGAATCGATGTGGGCATTGTGAGTTCATAGTGATGCCCTTTGGACGGACCAATGCTCCAGCTACATTTCAACGATGTATGAATGATTTGTTTAGGTCTTGGTTAGATAGATTCGTCGTAGTTTACTTAGGCGCCTAGATCTGAACTGCTATTTCAAGTTTTAATCCATGTTACCAATGGTCTGGAGATCGGACGTCTCCCCCGGATGTAAGGTACCCCCGTCGTCCGGATTTTCGAACGATGACTTTTTGGCACTTAAAAAAAAAAAAAAAAAAAAAAATTATGACAGTGTTGCGCATGCCATAGAGACCCCCCATAAAAAAATTCAGAATTTTATGAGCATTTGGTGATAGGGTGCTATTTATTTTTATCTTTTTTTCTACTGGCTCAAATGAGCCAAAATTTTGGTGGCATACACCTTATGCAAGGTAGAAGCCACATGATTTTTTTTTTTTGCGCTCGGTCGGACATCCCTCGTCCGGTCCGACGTCCGGTTGGACATCCCGCATGGCTCACACAGGGGGGTCCCGGACGTCCGATAAAACAACCTAGGACAAGTCGCTATGGCAGCACTTCCGAATGGCTCACATAGGAATGAATGAATGGCTGGGCGTTGCCCTTTGATTTATACTTCTGCAGCTCGTTGGTCTGGCCCTTTCCCATGCCCGTAGTGCACACAGTCCCATGCGGTACTTGCTTGACTGGACTAGGACTGACTGGGACTGGGACTGCTGACTCAGCACGGGTAGACTCCACCACTTGCCCACTTGCCTCAGCCTAAACATGGGCAACTTCGAAAGGCCACTACTCGGACCTTCCGGAAGGTTGTAGACTTGGCCTTTCGATACTGTAGCTGCTACGACCTTGACCTTTCTGGACTGTAGCAGCTACGACCTTGACCTTTCGGGAGAACTACAGCTACGACTTCTAGACCCTGCTAGGACTCCTACCCGACAGGTCTACGGATCGAACCCCTATTGTCTACAGACCCTACGACAGTCTACCAACTGTTACAATACACAGGTCACGGGTTCAACTCTAGGGGTCGACACAAATACTCTACACAAGTAAGGTGAGGACTAGGGATCGAGCCCTGGGATCTGCATCGGTGCGAACTGGTGAATACCGTTGCACTCCCGCCGGCCTAAATTCGAGGTCCTCCGAGAATAACTCTGTCCAAGGCAGGACCTTTTCCTTTCTTATCTCTCTCGTAGGCTCTAACTATGTCGGGAACTGTCTCTAGAAGTTCTACTCTAGTGAACCAGCGGTCGTCCTCCGGTTCCTGATAAGCAAACCGGACCTTATACTGCTTCTGTGGACGGCCTCTACCTCCTGTTCTGAACACATCTTCACCTACAATGCCGTCAATGTCGTATCTTTCGTCCATGTTTGGAGGGATCATGGACCGTCTAGATAGAAACTGTTGACTTGTGACACACGACATCAACTTTGATGCGTGAAACACAGGGTAGGTATGGAGGTGTGCTGGTATCTCTATTGTGAAAGGCCCATCCTCTCCGCCCTTTTTTTCTATACTGGCCACGGTCCTCTGTACGCAGGCAGTAACTTCTGCGAGATGTTTTCCTCAGGAGCAAACTCTTTGGACTTGACCCATACTAAGTCTCCTACTTGACACTGTGATGGGCGACAATGCTTATTAGCCTGCTCTATCATCCGGTGTTGGGCCTTCCTGAGGTTCTCAACAACCGGGCGGTAGCCTGTGAATCTGATCGCGGTTAAGTCCTTCGAACGGTCTACGCGGTCTAAAGGACCTGTGCAACTCATTGGGAGTGCGACAGGTGGACAGGTGCACGCAGTTATTGTACGCATTGGCTACCTTGGGTAACATCTCGTCTCAGTTAATCTGATCAGGTCTAATATACATGCGTAGAACTTGCTGCAGGATCTTGTTCATTTGCTCAGTCTGACCGTTAGCCTCTGGATGGCGGCCAGACGACATCAACAACTTGGATCCATAGACTTTCATCAGCTACTGCCAGTTCTGGCTAGTGAAGCGACTATCTCTATCGCTGACTATAGACAACGGGACTCCATGCTCACTAACCCAAAAGTCAAAAAACTTCTGAATCACTAACTCTGTATGGGCCTCTATAGGCAAAGGGACAAAAACAACATACTTGCTAAATCTATCTACTATAACCATGACTTGGCTCTTGTCATGCCTACTCTTGACCTGAGTATCCATAAAGTCAATGGACACAGAGTCCCCAGGTTGGTCAGGAATAGGCAAGGGTCTGAGAAGACCTGGAGGGGCACGCTTATTACTTTTGTTTCTTTGGCAGACTTTACAACTACGGACATACTCTATGCAGTCATTCTTCATTCCTGGCCATGTGTACGCGTGCATCAGATTGGCTAGAGTCGTTTGCCACCCGAAATGTCCCTCGGTGTCGTGTCATTCCCCTAGGATTAGGCTACGGATCTCCTCACTGTTGGGAATGCATAGACGGTTTACTACATTAGTCTTCTCAAACAATAACCCCTCTGTAGTGCGGTAATCTGGTTCAGTCTCTGGGGCCTGCGCCTATGCCTCTCTAACTTTCTCTTGCAGGTCATTCCCTATGTCCAAATATTGAACTATAGCTCCAAAGTAGTCTAATCTCCTACTCAGAGCATCCGCAACTACATTGTACTTGCCCTTAACTGGTTTGAGCTCAAAGTCGTATTGGTCTATCTCAGTGGCCCACCTAGTCAACTTAGGTGTCATTTTAGCCTGTCTTCAGCCATCTAAGCGTCTCATGGTCTGAATACACCTTGAAGTGCCTCCCAAGCAGGTAATCCAA